CATCGATTTCTCGAATCTCGGGGCATCGACCCAACTCCTGCGCCTCCTTGCGCCACTGATACAGAGCCGCAAGGGCTCTCGCCTCCAGGTCCCACGGTGGAGTTCCGGCCAGGAGACTCGCCGCCAAAGGAGATCGTGCGGTACCCCCTTATGATCCTGATGGCCAGCATTCGCTGCGGTCGTCGCAGTATCGCGACGTTGCTGGCCTTCAGAGCCCCCGCCCATACTGGGCACCCGTAAAGGGCCATGGACCGCACAACCCCCGAGTAGAGTCTCCGGCAGGAGTCATCGGGTCCCTTCATGTTGGGCAGCAGCCGCGCCAACGCACGCGCTGCCCCAACCAACTTGGGGACCAGACCTCGGAAATGATATCCGAAGTCCCATTGGCCATCGAGTACGAACTCCAGATACCTGATCGAGGGCTCGATGCCGATGCGAGTGCCTCCTACCGTGAGGCTAGATCCCTCAGGCGGCTTCCTCCGAAGCCCGTGGAAGAACAGGGCCTCGGACTTGTGCAGAGCTACCTAGAGACCCAGCCGCCGGATACGCTCAACGACTTGGGCAACCCCGGCCGTGGCCCCCAGGGTTGCCTCGTGGCGCGTCTTGCCGCGCGCCGTCACGAGTGTGTCGTCCGCGTAGCACACTACGGCGACACAGTCCAAGAAGGCACCACGAAGCACCCAGTCGTAGCCGATGTTCCACAAGAGTGGCCCTAACACCGACCCCTGCGGAACACCGCACGACATTTCACGCCTACCGAGACCGGTCCTACTGGGGTAGACGACGGCTCTCTCCGACAAATATGCCCCGACTATGCGGCGGAGGTAGAGAGGCACTTCGTGATACACGAGCGCCTCCCTGATGCAGCTCCAGGGCATAGTGTTGAACGCGTTGGCGATGTCCAAGGACACCGCCAACACCACTTCGCCCCGGGAGACTGCTTCCTCCGCCAGAGCCTTCACGCGCATGATCGCATCCACGGTGGAGCGCCCCTGACGGAAACCGTACTGGTTGTCCGCCAGATCCGGCCCAACCATCACGAGATGCTTGACGAGGCGCCTTGCAATCACTCTTTCAAAGAGCTTGCACACCTCGTCAAGCAACACTATGGGCCGGTAGGCGGACGGCGAGTCCGCCGGGCGCCCCTCCTTTCGGATGAGGACCAGTTTCCCCGTCCTCCACAATTTCGGAAACTGGCCCCGCTCGAGGTATGCGCTGAAGAACCCTCGCAGTCGGGGCTCGAGAGCCTCGTCGACTAAGGCCAGGACCCACGCTCGGCCAGGAATGCCATCGGGTCCCGGGGCGGTGTTTTTAGCTTTAAGCCGTAACACCGCTACCCTGTTAAAAAGTAACTATTTTTTAGATGTGTTTTTGTAAGTTTATTAATAACGAGCAGAGCATTTACAAGGCGTTGGTATTCCACTTCATACCTGCAAAACAAACGCAGCAGAATTTTAGCCCTCTTTGGTCCAACTACGTCTTCTGTCTACTTGACGTCACATTACACAAATTTTGTTAATAGAATTTTTAAATAACACAAGAAGGTTCTTGAACTCTATTGTCAGAGGCCATCGCTTGACACTACGCCATCCAATGCGTTGACAATATCGATAGATAGATAACTCGATACACAAAGGTTTAAGAATATGTAGGTTCACGGAAATATATCAGCTTTCAGTAGTGTCAGAGCAATACCAAATTTGACCTTCACGGTATCAATATTATCACACTAACATTATAAAGGTGAAAGTCTGTAAGTGTGCATGCATGTTTGTTATTTCTTTACGATCACGAATTTTTATAAAATGTTGTATGAAAGTAGCCGATAACACATAGGCTATTTTTATCGAGAAAACATACATTTTATAACGACGTGAAACGCTGCATCAAACTTGTATATTGAGTTGTAGGTCTATATAAGCGCACCAGGGACTTCCTTTCTAGGGTATACCTGGTTTCCCGACTATTAGTACCCGAGACGGCGTGCGGTTTTAGTCGGTTCGTGTCCGACATGCCACCGATAGGAGGGGAAATCCCCTCGGATACCACATCCGAGGGGATTTCCGCACGGAAAAAAAAGGTCTATATAAGCGACGGTTGTCATTTACTATCAAGTAAGCCGCCTGCTCGTTTGCTCTCTATATCATAAAAAAGGGGCCTCAATGAAGTGTATATAGATAGTTCAACTCAGTTGTGCGAGCGCACAACTGAGTTGAACTATCTTAACATCTCACTTAACAACTTAACAACTCATCTTAACAACTTTCATTCATGTGGCAGTGACGCGGCAGTCGGACGACGACTGCCACACGAATGAAAGTTGTATATTTACAAGCCCACGCACACATAGGGCCGCGCGCACAACTGAGTTGAACTATCTATACTACGTTTATATATTTTTTAGTTCCTTGTTTATTAACAGAGTTATGTTCTTATTAGCATTCTAATTCGTATTTAGAACAAAGTACATAATTTTGAAACCACTTTAATGGTCTTCAAAACTTGCTTTCAACTTCATACTGAAAACCCTGACAGCTCTGTATCTTTCACCATCCAGCGGTGGAATAATTTCATGATTGAAAGATAAATCGGTTAAAGGGAACTTTGTTAAGAATTTATAACAGTAGAGATATCAATCAACGCTTCGGAAATCAATCCTTGTAAAGGAACAGGCAAGATAGAATATTACATTATATTAAGACAGTATGCAATAAGGCTATTTAAACTAGCAAGCTTTCTGGCGCTTTCATAATATTTGAGCCCGAAATGGGACAGACCAGTCCCATTTTGGTACTTACAATATTTATTTATGTTTAGAATTAATGAGGCACGAATAACCATTCCCTTAAAGGCCCGACTTAATTGACCTAGTTTAGTTTAGCTTTCGATAAAATTTAACTATACTAGGCATACTTACAACTATGTATATTTTACGACTGCCTTTACTAGTCCACTGCTGGATATAGGCCTCTTAGAAAGGAGGTTTTGGCCTACTATACCACTCTGGCCAGACGGGTTGGTATAGGGTTTGTTTCAAGTTAGAAAGGAGATGCTGGAGGGTCTCGATCGTGACTCCTGGGGTCGCCCTTATCGCGCGGTGCGACAAAAGCTCCGCGCGTCGGGCCCCCCCCTTACGGAGACTCTCCAGCCCAGCTTCCTGCGAGAAGTGGTTGAGGGCCTTTTCCCGCAACGAGCGGAACACACTCGGCGTCCGCGTGTGCCGGACGTCGCCTAAAGAGAGGAACAATTTTGAGACGGGGCCCGCAACTGGAGCGGGCCGGCGCTAGGAGGGATCCGGATGTCTTAATAACAGCTGTTCCCGGATCCCTCCTATTACAGGCACAGAGTGGCACACCGTGTGGTTTTAGTCGGTCCGAGTCCGACACACCACCCCGCCGCAAACCCCGGTGGGGTGACGGTCCGAGGGTATTTCCACACGTTTAAAAAAAAAAAAAGAAAAAAAAGGGTTTGTTTCAAGTTTTCCTTCTCTCTGCAGTGCTGTTGTCCTGCGTAGTTTGCTCCATTAGTCGCCTCTTACGCCACCCACGGGATGAATAGGGGTAGTGACACTCTGTATTCTTAATCCGTCACCACACGGACAATTATAAAGACGGAAAAGATGTACATTTTAACTATTGAGAATTATGTAACTTTTTCACCGCACACATGAGTCATGGGTTCGTCTAAGTCGTAGGATGCTCTTGAGCATAAAGGTTAAAAAATAATATTAAGTCTTTAAAATACAAAATGACAGTGAAGACAAAATATATATTTATATGTTACGAAGCATGCTATAAAATAATTCTGTGAAACAAGAATATAATCTTTCTGATTATTAACAATTATAAACAAAACAAAGATCAAAATGAAAATAGGTGAGTGTAGGGACTTAAAAATTATGTCTTAAAGTAAAATGTCATACTAGCTTTTGCACGCAGCTCCGCCCGCGTATATGTCGGTTTTCGCGGTAAGAGTAGGCTGTGTTATTCGCGGATAATGTAGCTTACCATTAATGAAAGAATAATAAAACTCGGTCTAGTGGTTTAGGCGTGAAAGCGTAAAAAAAAACCAACTTACTCTCACATTTGTAATAAAAGTATGTATGTATGTATGGTGAGGTACACTCGAAGCTAAATTTCTTGATAGCTGTATTGCCTTTGTTCGTCCGTGTTAGACATTTTTGACTACTATTATTATTCGTATTTAAACTAACTTCGACATTTAACACAGCGAGCATTCATCATCATCATCATCAGCTAACCACTACTAGACATAGGCCTCTACCATTGCACGCCATCTTCACAGTTCTTTCATAATTTAGTTCCAGAATAGTATCTTCATTAATCCTTTAAAAAATGATATTAATCACACATTTTATACACGACAGTCTAATCCCAAACTAAGCAGAGCCTGTGCTATGGAAACCTGACTTTTGATAAACATATTTAAATATTCTAAATACATCCACATTATAGATAAATTACACCCAGGTACACAACATTAATGATGATGCTCATGAACCAATTGTTTCTTCAGCGTGGGAATCGAACCCACAACCGCCGGCTTAGCAGTCAGGGTCATTAACCACCAGACCAACACAATTTGTAAAGTTAAGCAATCCTAGCCAGGTCAGTGTATGGATGTGTTACCATTTCTAAAAACATTAAGACCGCTCCGTGCCTCACAGAGTACATCCAGCCGCCGGTCTCGCTTGCCATACGAACATCTTTGGCAATCGTAACGGGTGGTTGGAGCCCAAAAAGTCCGCCAACAGTATTTCTACAGAACTTCGATGTCGGCTAGTACTTGGGTTGTGGAGGTCTGATGGGTAGAAATCGAAGTTCAACCGTATTGTACTAGACTTAAAGCGGACCCAAACTAAGTTTGTGAAAAAGGCTCGGAGGAAGAATTTGATTTGAACGTATTTTCTCACATTTTGCAAGTAACATTGTTATATTGCGCTTTTTATTTCGTTTAATAATGGATATGTGTATTTGCAGACAGTGCTGGGCGCTTTACCGCTGGCCATAGCAGCTATCAATCGAGAACCAAGCCTCCTTCCTGGTTTAAAGCTCCGCTTCGTCGCTGCTGACATTGGCCGCCCAAGACCACATTTACCAAAGGATAAAGACAGTCTTTCTTTAAGGTAAGCTATAAATGACTGAATTAAAGTATTGGATTTTAAATCTTATTAAAATGGGATTGAGGTTGGATGAAAATATTCATAACCATGTGAGGTTAGGTCGTCGAACCCATGTGAATAGATATACTATGATCGCAGGTAAATTTTGATAGGTATACTGTGACGCTTTTAATTTTGTTACATCATCAGCCTTTAATAGTCTACTGCAAGTAAAGGCTCTTACGACACCCACGGCACGGGTTGAACAAGGGTGGTGACACTCCGTATTCTTAATTCGTCACCATATGGAAATCATTTTGTTAAACTGACTACTAACGACGATTCGAGAGCCTTTAAGTACCTTTATGTAACTTCAATAATATAATACATTCTAGGAAAGAATTTATTGAAAAAATTAACCTCTGGTGCTTGTCGAGAGTAGACGTGTTGACTATTTCTCTAGTAAAATATAATAATTCTAATAAAGTAACTCTGAAATGAAGTGGAGATGGGCCGGACACATAATTAGAGACAGGCATGGCAAATGGAGTACGACTATCTGTGACTGGTACCCCAGAGATGGCAAACGTAATAGTGGACGCCAACAAGCGAGATGGGCAGATGACCTGAGGCTAACAGCTGGACACCACTGGAGAAGGGTAGCGCAAGACAGAACCCAATGGAAAGTGCTGGAGGAGGCTTTTTTTTTTTTTTTTTTTAAGTGTGGAAATCCCCTCGGACCGTCACCCCGCCGGGGCTCTCGTTCGGCGGGGCGGTGTGTCGGACTCGAACCGACTAAAACCACACGGTGTGCCCTCTTTGCGCTTCCAGTTTAGGAGGGGTCCAGGTAGTTATCGCCTTCTGGACCCCTCTAAGCGCCGGCCCGCTCCTGTTGCGGGCTCCGTCTCAAATTTTTTTTTTCCCTCTCTTTTAGGCGACGTCCGGCACACGTGGAGGTCGTCCTCCCGGGCCTTCTCCGCCGCCTCCTTCTGCGAGATTCTCTCCTCGCAGAAGGTTGCGACCGCGGTAAAACAACTGTCGCTACCGGCCATGGAGCGAATTACGGCCGGTAGCGAGAGATCTACTCCGATGACTGCGGTGAGGGCCCGGCGCTGCGTCGCCCATGCGGGGCAAACCGCCAGCGTGTGTTTTGGGCCGAATCCTCACTGCTGGAGAGCCTCCACGGCGGCGAAGCCAGCGCGTGGAGTCTCCAGCCGGAACGACCATCTGACCATGGTGGCTCGGCGAGCGGCTTCGCGCCACTCGCGCACGTCTTCGGACGGAGGGCGAAATCCGCTCTCCGCCCGGAAGTCAGCCACTCGCCGATAAACTTCGGCGAGCACTTCCGCCTCCAAATCCCACGGGGGTGTTCCGGCCAAGGCGCGACCTCGATTGAGGCGCCGGCGGGTGGACCACGACAGGGCCCATTAAATAATAGGGCTTCCGTCTTATCCAGGGCCACCCGTAATCCCAACGCCTCAATGCGCCCGACCACCTGGGAAACTCCCGTGGCGGCCAGGCGCGCCGCCTCCTGGAAGTTAGCCCCCCGGGCCGTGAGTAAGGTGTCATCCGCGTAGCAGATTACACTCAGCCCGGGGGGGAGACGCCCTCGTAGGGCCCAGTCGTACCCGATGTTCCACAGGAGAGGGTGCTGGAGGAGGCCTATGCCAAGAGGCACTCTGAATTGCGAGATATTTTATAGACTAATCTTATGAACTGTTTAATATTGCATTTAGATAATTCAGAATAAAGGGCTTATTATTATTATTATTAACTCTGAAAAGTGTAGTGTTAAAGTCCAATATAGGTTACTACGCAATTAATAACTTAAGACGTAATAGATCCAACAGCAAGGCTCGGGCAGCATACCACAAAAGTCAAGAGAACGGCTGTCATTATTCGCCTCGCTCGCACCCGCAGGAGTAAAGAGAACAATAACAACAACAGAACAATAGAGTGTATAAGGAAATTACACAATGAAGAACAAGTAATACCATTAGCAAAATCTTTGTATGCCGACCGTCCTTTTTTTTTTTTTTTTTTTTTTTTTTTTTTTTTTTTTTAACGGGGGGAGATCCTCATGGATGTCCTCCGCCCAGGGGAACGGGCGGAGGGGTCTGTCAGACTCCTACTGACTAAAACCCCCCGGTGTTCCGTCTCTCACCTACGCCGGGGATCGCGGGAACTGAGGTGACTTCCGCAATCCCCGACTGGTGCCGGCCCGCCGCTGCGGGCCACATCGCGTCAGCGAGGGGAGTGAGGTGTTTGACTCCCCTCGCGACTACACAGAGGGGCGCACGGGAACACAACGCGCCGCCACCTCGGGTCCAGATGGGGCGACGAACATCCCCAAGTCCGTCGCCCCTGGACCCAGCTAGGGGGGCCGGAGGAGGGCAGCATATGCCCTCCTCCGACGCCCGGTGCGCCTGCTGCGGATCGGGAGAGAGGTCAGGATCTCCCTCTCCCTCTCCGCAGCCTCCTTCTGCGAGATAACCGTTTCGCAGAAGGACGCCACCGCGTCCCAGGACTCCTCGCTGTCGACCATAGAACGAACTACGGCCGGCAGCGAGAGGTCACTGCCTACTACAGATATGAGGGCACGGCGCGGCTCCTCCCAGGCGGCACACTCTGCCAGCGTATGCCGCGCCGTGTCCTCCCGACAGTCGACGCAGTGGTGACACCGAGCGTCCGGCTCCCTGCCCAAGCGACACAGGAACCTCCCGAAGCAGCCATGCCCAGAGAGGACCTGCGTCACACGGAACGACAGGGAGCTGTGCCTTCTGTCGAGCCAGAGGTCGAGCACTGGCCGGATGGCCTCGATAGTGACGAGGCCGGCGGAAGGGCGTGAAAGCCTGTCCCGCCATTCCACCACCAGGACCTCGCGCAGCTGTGACCGACGCAGCTCGATGTCTCGCTGCGCCAGTCCCTCACCGCGAGTCCGCGCGTCCTCACGCCACCGATGCAGTGACGCGAGGACTTTTGCCTCCAGGTCCCAGGGCGGAGATCCGGCCAGTACGCAAGCCGCCTCGTGGGAGATCGTGCGATAACCCCTAACAACTCTGACGGCCATCACCCTCTGCGGCTTCCGCAGAACGGTGATAGCGCCGGCCGTCAGGTCAGCCGCCCAGATAGGGGCCCCATATAGGGCCATCGATCGCACGATCCCCTCGTACAGCCGCCTGCAGGCGGCTCTCGGGTCCGACCTATTGGGAAGCAGCGTTGACAGCGCCCCAGCCGCGCCCAACAACTTGGGCGCCAGCCGCCGGAAGTGGGGGCCAGGATCCCACCGGCTGTCGAGCACCAATCCTAGATATTTTAGGGTGGACTCGACAGCGATTCGAGCCCCCCCAACCACCATGTGCAATCCCGGCGGCGGCGCCCGTCGGGGGCCATGAAAAGCTATGGCCTCCGACTTGTTGAGGGCCACCTCCAGGCCAAGGCGCCGTATGCGGCTCACCACTTGTGAAACCGCCGCCGTCGCTAGCAACGCTGCCTCCCTGTACGAGCTCCCCCGGGCAGTGACCAGCGTGTCGTCAGCGTAACACGTCAGGTCTACCCCCGGTTGGAGCTCGCCCCTCAGCACCCAGTCGTAACCGATGTTCCACAGGAGCGGGCCTAGGACTGACCCCTGCGGAACACCGCACGACATTAGGCGCTGAATGCGGACCGTCCTAAGCCAATTAAATCAATAAGATTGGGCAAATATATTCCAAACATGAGCTGGCCCTTGAAAGTTCCTTTTAACAACACCGACTCTACAAGATATCTTATAAGGAACAAAACCAAAATACCCGTAAATATTAAAAAAATATGCCGATATAACATCAACTCAAAGTTTATATCTAAAATCACTAAAAGATGAATGACATAGGCTAAAACAGTGAAACGGATGTTATCATCAAATACATTAAAGGAACACATTATAACAAATAAAACTAATCAAAAAAGCTAGTAAACATTTCACTACAAAATGCGAGTCATAATAAAAAATCAAGTAGAATATTATATGATTTAGTGAAGAAGTATAAAGATATACCATTGTATTCGTCGTCATTAAGGCCGTCTGGTGACGGATTAAGAATACGGAGTGTTCCCTATTCTATTCATCCGGTGGGTGTCGTAAGAGCCGACTAAGGGAGCAAACTACGCAGAACAACAGCACTGCAGAGAGAAGGAACACTTGACACAAGACCTCTACTAACCCGTCTGGCCACCGTGGTATAGTAGGCCAAAACCTCCTTTTAAAGAAGAAGTCTATGTCCAGCAGTGGACTATTAAAGGCTGTTGATGTGAAGGTTTTTATAAGGCAATTTGCGCAGTTTGACGAGATAAAATACATATTACAAGCATTACGCTCGACTACTCAGTTATTAATTTTTACTGAGACGTGGATTACATCGAAAGCTTGTTTTTTTTAAACGGGGTGGAAGATCCTCATGGATGTCCTTCGCCCAGTGGGGAATGGCGAAGGGTCTGTCGGACTAACCGACTAAAAACCACCTCAGTGTTCCTCTCCTTGCCCTTTGACAGTTACCCTTGGGTCGCAGTCCTCTAGGAATGCACACGGATCACTGTGCGCTACCTCATGGGCCTGTATCTGTTCGGACGACGAGTCCCCCGAAATCAACTCCGAATCACTCCTCAACGGCAGCCGCGGAAGGCTCTTGTTTCTAAAAGAGGTAAAGGTATGCAGCTTTGGAGCAACATTAGCACTTCGTCTCTGTGGCGGTGGAGACCATGGGCATCTGGGGAGCTAATAATAGGAAATTTATTAAGGAGCTAGCTCGAAAACAATACTACAAACAACACTAAAAAATAAAAATTATTACAAATCTAAAAAAAAAGTGCTACCCTCAATATGACAGGTAACATTATAATAGCAATAGATACCTTCCTGTCTGTTTGAAGTCGATATCAAGCCCGATACACATTAAGTAATTATGAAGGTAGGGGACTAAGTTCTGAGAATTCAGAAATGCAAAGCCATAACCACAACAAAAAGAAACAAACACAATAAATTATCT